CTAATCTAATCTAGAGCAATTTCTACAATGGAATCATAAGTAATCTAATCTAAACGAGGACGAATGTCATTTGTATCTCAGGCAATGTATGTTTGTTAAAATGACAAATTATGAGAAACGGTAACTGCTGAATCTATTTTCCTAACGGGTTATCAAACAACAAACGTGCTGATAACCCGAGAGATTTTTCTCACTGTGCAACGCCCGGTAAAAATGATTAACATAACGACACACGTGGCGACGAATTACGGCCGATTCGTTCGCTCGCGCGCAAAAGCGAGACACTTTCACCGAGATTCTTAGTAGAAAAGATCCAACGGTTAGGCGATTCGTTGGTCACGAGTCGTTCACGGAGATAACACGATCATCCCCTCGAGAGATGCCGAGGGGTGAGACTCTACCACGGACCCGTATGCATCGTATGTAGATTGGCCGATTGTCTTGTAGCCTCGTTCTTTTTCTTCTCCCGACTATCGCCATCTCCCCCCGCCCCACTCCCCTCGAAAAACTTTCACGGACGGTAGTGTCCCGTGAGAATGCCGGAGACACATTAGCATGCCGCGGATTATTTAAATCGTCCTCCTCCCTCCTGCATCCTAGTAGTTTCTTGTTTTTTCCCGGGACCTTCGCGAGAGTCCCATGGCGTGGGTCCCGTGGGCACCCATAACCATAGACAAAAACCGGGTGAGCCTTTAACGGAAGAAGAACAAGAAGAAGAGTAGGGAGAAAAAGAAAAGGGGAGAGGAGGGGAGGAGGCAGAGGGGACATAAACGAGAGGCCTCGGGATAACTCTTCCGCGTGCCGCAGGTTCCTACGACCGATAAAGAGCGTCCTCGAGAGATGACTGCCGCTCTTCTCCCATTCACATTCAAATCCGGTCCTTTTCGCACCACACGAAGAAATAGAGGAGACCCTAATTTCTCTCTTAGAAAAACAAACGAGCCCACTGTGCGATCGAGGATTCTTTGAGATCGCGTTGCAAGGATTGTTTGAGTATGGGCGGTCGCGACAGAGTGTATCGCGGATGATGTACGCGCGTCCCGTTGGAGACGACGGAAACGAGAGGGGTGGAAAGAAGACAAAGCGACGACGTCTCTCGCCTAAGTTTGACCGGGAGAACGTACGAAACAAGATTTCGCAGGATGCTGAGTGTCTTCGGTGTCATGTCAACGATGTGCACTGTTTCACGATGCTCGAAATAAAAAAGCGAGAGGAGAGGAAAACAGCGTACCGACAAACGAATCTAAATTAGAGTACTCGCGGCGGGCAATCGCGAGGAAGTTTTCGCCCACGATCAAGTTTTGAGACAGAGTCCCGGGCGCCGACGACTATTCGATAAAAATGAAGGAACGGCTGTGATAAATTCCGATGCAAATAGTAATCTTCAGTCATCGTTCCTCGTCGTGAAAGTTTCAAGCGTCGCGCTTATAGTTCCGATAGAACATCTTGGGAACGACGTGTCACGGTGAAAAAATACGAGTTTTAAGTAGTTTCTCTCGATTTAAGAGGCACGCTTTCCCAGTTAGTTATTCGTTTTTCTCGCGCCGCGCTCCTCAATTCCGTCCTGAATGGGTCGTCGCCACTTGATTAATGCAAGAAAAACGCCGCGAAACCACCGCTATCGATTCAAATGAACAACTACTTTTCCGTTATTCGCTCTTTTCTCCTATTCATTCCCTGTCGCGCGAATGCACATACACGCGCACTTCCTCTCTCCCTCTCCCTGGAAAGACTTTTTTTCGCGCTTCCGTCTATTTGTTTTCTTTTTCTCCTTTCACCCTCTCTCTCACTCTCTTACTCTATTTCTCTCTTTCTTTTTTTCTCATCTCGAAGTGGAACCTCGACGAAAGAACGCTGCTATGTAAAGCGATCTTCAACCCTTTTTGGCGCCCTTTTTCGCCGTCGTTTTTCGAGTCGTTTGTACCCCACCTTGCCTCTTTCGCCCCCATCTTACCCATTTCGATTTTACCGCTCCAGCCCCTCCACCCCTCGGCGCTCTCTCGCACTCTTTGTCTCTTCCTCTCTTGACGGTCTCCTCTAATCCAGTCTCGTCTAAATTATGCAGGATTCTCGTCCGGAGATAGCGCGAAAGGGTGGAGGAGAAAAAACAAAATCAAAACAGGGGTAGCGCGTATTCCGTCCCGCTGACACCGCACATTAAAAAAAGAAAAAGGAAGAACGCCGAGCGGAGTTTTTTCTTCCTACCGTTTCCGAAGCTTCGGCGACGTCGTAGCTGCGCGTTTAACGGTGTCTTTCTTCCGGCCATTTTTAATTCAACCAACGTTCCTACGCTCCTCTTCCTTATTTCTTTTTCGTTCTCTCCGACCGTTTCTTTCTTTCGAATTTTTTCCTCCGTCGATCTTTTTGTCGCGACTACAGCTTTCGTCGGACACGCAGAAAATATACGGAAAAATAACTCGATGGAAATTACTTTTTAAGTACCACGGTCTTTCGCCAATCGATTAAATATTTTTATCATTGATTCAACCGTATTCCAAGACGCATATTTTTCTAAGCATGGACATCCCGTGTCGAAACTTTAATTTCTTATTAACTCTGCAGATTCATAATTTGAAGGATCAATAAAGAATCTCAGAATATAACATTGCACTTTAATGTAGCAAATAATTACTTACTACTACTTTTCCTTGTTGAATCTTAAAGAAAGACTCATTTCAGAATTATTTAATGTTCTATTATGTCGATATTTTCTACACGCATTTAATCTTTATTCTTAATTTCAGTCACAACAATGTATTAATTATATAACTTATTCAGTTGCAAATATACTATATAAGAGATATAAGAGATAAAATTAAATAATCTAATAAAAATGGATGGATAAATAAAAGAAACAGCAAATTTATATTCTTATAATCTCTTCTTTTCTTTGAAAATTATGATGGGATTTTAAGCTCTTAAAAAAGCTAATAGGAATAGCAAATAGGAAACTATAAAGACCAATAATAACAGTGTCCAATAATGTTGTTTACCAATAGAGATTAAATTTGGATTTCGTACATTATAACAAGGCTAAACAAAAATTAAAAGAAAGCGTTGACGGACGTGAACAAAATCGGACTTATGGCCCAAGGAGCATTGTTGGACGCAACAATCGATATTTGCGAGATTTAGATCAGATTCTAAAACTGGCATTTACAGTTGTGAATTATTTAGGATCTTTGATTGAGAATAGAATCAATTATACGCAGATTCGTATTCACGGTTAACCGATCGTTATTCGGTTATCTAAATCAACGTTTCTTGTATGAGATAATATAATAAATTAGTAATTGATACTGTTTGATGAATAATCGAAGATTCATATAATTGTCAATAAACTTGTCATATACTTATCAGATGATAACGAACTATGAGAATGCCGGCTTAAATTTCGACTTGGATATCAGTTTGTTCTCGATAAGTTCGTCAAAGACTCGTTAAAAATGGAAACCTTCCATGTAATAAATGATTTGACATACCTTGGAAACATATGATGTATCGCTGCTCGCGTCCCGCATCTGCGTCCTTCTTTCTAGCTTCTCAATCCAGCATCCTGGCTGCTCTATTGTGACAGCGTGACATTGACACTTGCGTAGATACGATTCGATCGAAGATACACACGTGTTAAATGACGCGAGAGCTCGATTCAATGTTCCAAAGAGCCAACGAATATTTTAATCACCCGTGGGAAAGACAAAAAACACGATACACGTAGCTCGCGCGGTGTGCGCGTCGCTCACCGGCTCGAAACGTAATGAACATTTGAGAAAGTACGTGACGTACAAAAGGATGTTTATGTTTGACTGCCTGGAAGGTCTGGGATTGTTTTGATCATTGCGATCGCGCTCGACGGTTAGTAACGAACGAGGACGGAGACAGGGAGATGACAGGGAGAGAGGGGGATGTATTTATTCTTTTTGCCGATTGTCTTGGTACTCTCGCGTGTCATATACTTCCGTGTGTGTTGTGTGACCCGAATGTTACGTTATATTTTATGCAAAAGAACATTCACCGGCTCGTGAAGTATTTCATCAAATTGTCGACGATATCGCGTTAATTAGGGTGTGTTTTTTTTCCATCAAAACTTATCTACAGGAGTGTCAATGTTATAAGCTAGTATTCCAAGTACGAGGCAACCAGGACCAAGATACTAGATCGGAATGTAAAGACGGAGAATATAGGACGCAAGCAGCGTTACATCATATATTTACACACGCAAAAGAAAATTTCAACTCGGGTAACTGAACGGGGACCAGACGAAAAACTCGCTGACGAGAAATAATATCTCTCTGTTACTGTGACCGAAAACATTCGTCTGAACATTCAGCTGCATTAAAACTCGGCTGAGATAACTGAGAGCAATTGGCTGAGTAGAAACCTCCTCCTGCAGGAATCTTTCTGTTCCTACAACCGAGTTTTTTTCGTCTGCTCTCCAAGTAACAGAAAATTCAGTTACACTAACAGAGTTGTGTTTTTTTCTGTGCAGATATATCAAGTGGCATTGTCAATACATAACAGACATATATTCCATGTACATTTCCAACGCCAATAAAAAATAAGTAATTAAGAAATTGCATCAAAGTAGGACAATATAGCGTCTGCAATGTCTTTCATATTTAACGAAATTTATAGAGCTGATGTAGGACTAAAATGTCAATTGGGGGCAGTTTTTGTGCTTGCAAGAAGAATATCTCGCGCATTTAATTAATATTTAATCAGTTTCATGCATTATCACGTAAATGTTTACACGATGCATTTTACGATTTCCGCAGTCACTATTCCTCCGCGCAGATCGTTCCGGCTTTATCTCGCGATTCTGCATTGCGGAGCTCGGCGAGAGATCGTAAGATCATTTCCAACGGATTCGATAACGGGTTCTAACAAAAGTCCCGGATCAAATTAGACGGGGTGAAAAATGCCGGCGATTTTTCATCAAGATTCCCGAACACGCGGGAGTCATTCGGTCGAGTGAATCATCGTGGTAAAAGCGTACTCACGTCACTGGAAAGGCCATTGTTCCACGGGTAAGGCGGTTGAGGTGGGGATTGCTGTTGATGATGAACACCGACGCCAGTGGCCGAATGCGGATTGTGAATGTGCTCCGCCATAACACTAACCCAATGGGCCAGTCCGCCACCTCCGGCGGCCGCTGGGCCCGTGCCACCTGTTCCTGTCCCACCACCCGTCCCTCCACCGCCACCGCCGCCGCCGCCACCACCGCCTTCTTCGCCACCCTCCGACCATGCAAACGAGGTTTTCTGCAAACAAGCGAAATATCGATTCATTGAGACACATGTTCGCTCGATGCGTTCGCGACAGCACGGTTAGGCCTTATATTGGCTCCCTCGCGCGTGCTCCCTTCCGTAACAATTAAATAAAGATTACAGATCGTTCCTTTCAAGTGCACCAAATTGTTATCGCAGCCACGAAATGAATATCCATTAAGCGGTATTTATAGAGATACGTGCAGAGATTGTATTTTTGGACTCGGCGCGCTTCTCTTGTGTATTCCCTGATTTAAGAACCGAATCATAATCAAGTCGATAATCAACGGAGATTGCACTGTCCGACTGTGACAATGATTTTTTTCATTGATATACGAAGGAAGATCGATGCTACATAGATCAATCTAGTTATCTATATGATATCTAGAAGATACATCGACGGATTGTTGGCGATGTCAATATTCAGTTCGAGTCGATCTGAATATCATAAGTTGGATAACGTCGATATCTACATAATAATACGTAATATCTTCCAGATATTACGTAACGAAATCTTCGAAATATCTAATCGACTGCTGATTTCCACATAATTTCGACTCGATTTCGACCTGATTTTTTATCGACGCCTGAACTCGGAGTGCATCCTAACATCTCGTTGCGAAATTATTTATACCGACAAATCGCTCGCGTTTCTATTACATCACTCCTCGTTTTTATTGCATTGCGCGAACCTCGTGGTTAGTGAAAATTTCGGATATAATTAATGCGAGGAGAATGTTGCGTGTCATGTTTCCAGGAACGTTAAGATCACCGAGTATAATTAATCACAAAAGTCCGTTTCTTTATATAGAAGATCTTGGATCGGAGAAATCCTCCTTGCATTAATCACGGTGATTATTAAACTCGCTCGTCCTCGTCTGACCGGCGAGGCAACATTAGGTATTCATGATCGAGTGCGCGAGAAGAGTTAGTCCATTAATAAATTGATCGATGAATCAATCGGGCCGTGGAGCCCAGAAAAGATACTCGATGTCAAAATCCCTAAACTTACTGCGCGGCTTTTCGTCGCGCGAAGCGCCGTCCTAATCTCGTTGCTCCGCTCACGCGGTATTAAGCAAAGCGCCGTCGAGCGTGCGATTGACTGTAATAAATTTTACGGCCGCCATATTTCAGCTACTTTTACACGATCTTACGTTGCACAGTGAATATCCTTCATTACAGTATGCATGTATCGCGCATAAAAATAGCAAATGCTGGCGTTACGCTGCCGCCGATATTCGCCGGAAGTATAGTGGAGAAATATTCACGCTTGGAACTGAAATTCTTACGAATATAATATCGCAAGGAAATCCGATAGTCGCGGCATATAGATTATTCTATATGCGTACAGCGGCCAACACACATGCATTTGTAGATTTGAGTGTAATTATACCGATCTCACCGGCGCTATCGACCGCGGGAGACACGTCGTGAGAAATTCATAGCCTCAGACAAAGAAGAGAAAATGTACGTCGGGGCGATAGCCAATCGATACGTCGTCGAATGCAGGAGCGATGAGCGAGGCGGTTATAAAAGTAGATGCAACTCGAATCATCCTTGCGGGATACCCTCGCGATATTTCTTTCGCGCGATATCGGTCCGACATTCCGTTTCTGTTCTGACGGAAAATTTCATATTCATCCTTTAAAATTGAACGGGAATTCAATAATATCATTAGCGCGCCATTTTTCTTCCTCTCTCCCTCTCTCTCCTTCTCTTCCTCTCTCTCTCTGCCTTTTTCTCTTGTCAGCATCCCGAGCTTTCTCGTCTACGCACGCGAGTACGAATGTTGGAAGCTTTTTTACGATAGCTTTTTGCAACTGCGTTTCGCACTTCATTTTTACGTTTAAGGAAATTTTCTCTTACATTCGCTCATTACTCTACAAAGCTCTCTCCGACAAAACAGACATGTTCGTATTTTACTCTTCTCTAAAAGAATCCGGCTCTTGTCCTGTCGCTTTTTTCCTTACACCCGTGTCACAAGTGAAATCTCGGCAGTCCGCATGACCCAGTTAACTAATCGGGCTAAATGGTTAATTAAACGAGCTCTGCATTGAAATCGCTAATTGTTTGCGCAGCGGTGCATCGTGAGAAAAACGTGTTGCGAATTCGCGGGCATGATTATAAGTTTCTCAAATAACCGTTCCCCCGTTTCGGAGCCTACCAGGGGTGTTATTTCTTAAGGGAGTCTCGCATGGGGGGATGATGCGTTTCATTATTGCGACCAACTTAATTACACGTTCTCGGGCACGCAGCGCGGCGCCCGCTCGTGACGCACATGTCCTTTCAGCTCCCCCGGCTCGGCTTGCAAGTTCGACGCGATTTCGTTTCGTTCATACAGTCTGGCCTGAGACAAACGATGGGAGAACGAGAAATGGAAAAGGCACTTAAATATAAATCGGTTAGAAATACGCGCGCGAGGCACATAATAAATTATCTTTCCCGCGCCATTGCTCGCGCCAGTTTTTTCGGCGCCAGATTTGTTTCCTTTATAATAAAGTATAATTCGCGATTTTTGCCACTGCTAAATTTAACTGTGTATATGTGCTCCCTAGTTATCCACTCGTCGCACTTAATCGATACCGAGCATGGCGCTACAATCTCTCGCTGTCAATGAGTGTGAATAATTCAAATATAGGGCGAATAAAATTCATTAAGTGAACCGGTGGATCGCCATCGCGTCCGTAATATACTTTCTAAGTTTGGCCGCGGCTTCGCCGCGCTCTCCGTTTATCGGTAAAATCCAGATTGAGAAATAATTAATTGTTGATCGGTTACTGGCAGGGCCTGATGATCGATAGCATAACGGATAGACGCGGTAATAAATGTGTTCGTTTATCGATATTCTCCGCAATAAGCTGAGAGAGAGAAAGAGAAAGAGAGAGAGCCTAGCCGCGGTGAACTTTTTGATGCTGTTATAAAAGTCGATGAAGTCAACACGCGGTTCTTTCTCGTATAAAAGAAAAAAAATATTACAAAAACATTCTATATCTAAAAGCTATAATCCACGATGAAAATTCGATGTGATGTGAGAGAATCGACTGGAAAAAAGAAGACCTGTTTCTTTTGTTTTAAAAAACAGGCAAAATATATTAATTTCTATAGGACGTAGCGCGAAATCACAATAAAAGGCAACGTCTTAAATTCCGCACGATTGAAACGAATGTGCAGGTACATTATGGATCAGAGTCAGGTAGCTTCGACTAAAACGAGCCAAAACCATAATCGTGCCAAGAAAAGTTCCTGCGCGGTCGTAAGTCGGGCAGAAGCAAAAGGAAGCAACAGGAAATCCATGGCCGCACTCTTCCATGCTCCGCTGCGGCAAATTAATAAATTATAATAAAAGAAAGCTCGCGAAAGTATTAATCTAGATCCAACATCTTCTTTGCAACAATTACTAAATTCGCATATCCGCTTGGCGTAACGAACTTTGCAACTGCCGAGTTAAGAACGACGTGTTAGCTGATAAACGCGCGAAACGACATTCGACAACCGAAACAAATTAATATAATGGCATTAGACGACTAATTGGATTCGAAGGATAAAAGTTCGCTCCTTGAACTCTCATTCCCACTCACGTTTGTTCCCGACTGCTGAAAACAGTGAAATTTATTACTGCGTATTTAAAGAAAGGATTTATTCTCTTTACAAAATTGCAATTGTAAAATTTTGTTGAACCTGATCGCGATATTTACTTTCTCAGTTCTTAATCCTTATTCAGTTTCTTCTTTCTTCCATATAGAAAAATACACGCTGCATTCAAGTAAATGTTACACGTCTCAAGTATTTCACAACGAAAATCTATTCTAAATTCATCATAAGCATCAAAATTATCAATTAGCATCAAATTTATTCGAAATATACTGAGAATCTTAGCAAATTTTAATCAGAAGTATTCAATTGGGCCAAAATTCGGTTTGCTTACTGTAAAAATTCGAACAAGTTTTTTTTTCAATAAAATTTTACGATTGCAATTTTGTAAAGAGAAAACGCAGTAATAAATTTCACTCAAATTTGTGAATATATTTTAAAACTGTTATTAAGAAAATATTCCTAGTTGAAGATAACCGTTATTTGAAAAAAGTAAAATAAATCTCTGTGTAATCTCGTTTCTCTCAACAACACACTGAGAACGAATGTTTGAAAATTTATCTGTGATATATAAAGTTTACTTCTGTGAAATAAAGTTTATTTCTGTGAAAAAAACAAACTTTATATTCCACAAATGAATATTTAAGTGCTTTTTTTCTCAGTACAGAATTATATTTTTGTGTGTCTTTTCTGGTTTTGTAATCACATATCGCACGGAAAAATGATCGAAGCAAAGCGATCTTACCGCTGCTTGAGCGCGATCGTCGTGATCGCGGAAATGAAGGCGCGAATGATCGTTGCGGCAAAACGTGTGAAATCAAGATCGGCAAGTGAAGCTGACATCGAGGATACCGTGAAGAGAGCAGTGTGTTACCCGCGCAAACGAAATCCTGTGCTCTCGCCCTCGCGTTTTATGCTCTCGTTACGCGAGAAGCTCGTAGCCGCTAACTATGCTCTAACTTTTTTAACTGACAACTTATACCAACGACACCTCGCCGGCGCAGTCACCGGTAAGACGTACTTTATCGCGCAAACAGTTACCTCGACCTGTCAACCGGCCTTTAACTCCTCGCTAACTATCCCCACGATCCTCCGCGACATTCACGTCCACATCTTCCTGCTTCATACTTGACGCTCTTCTACTTTCGCCTACATGCCCCTAATATACTGCTATGCCCACGCAATGTTCGTTAAACCGTGCATCACGTGAGACTTTGCGCGAGAGACGAGCCTCACTCCTATCTTTTTACTCCAAACACGCGAGTGATGCCGTAAATAAAATTTCTCACGCGGCGCGTACTCAGAGCCGCGTAAAAAGGAAACGCGCGAATTTCGAGACCGCGTGAGTTAAGATTCATCGTATTCCGTTTGAAAACACACGTCTTCTCTTCAATATTATAACCGAATCGAAGGGGTGCGCGGAGTTTTAAGGAACTGTACCCATTTTTGTCTCTCTACCTGCGGTACACAACACGTTCCACCCTGGCTGAATTCGCCGAGGGAGAACATTCAACAATACGCATACATATGCCCCGGCTATTTCTATTTTTCTTTCGAGAAAGTGATTGTAAACAGCGACGACTCGGCGACGGGCAATGCGACAAACGGCAAGATGCAAAGTTTCTCAGCGACACACGGGCATCTAACCTCATCATGATCTTCCCGATGAAGAGCCAAGTTCCTCGGGAAGGCGGGCACGCTGCTGACAGTCAAGCCCTTCAGGTCCTTCAACTCCTTCAGTGCACCGAGCGCGTTCAGGTTGTCTTTCAGGTTCGCGAGATTGAAATTAATCCCCTGCTCTTTGAAATTGAGATGCCTGTTGAGCACGGTCTTGCCTAACGCGCTCGCCAGCAAACTATTGTATAGCTCGTTGCGTAGGATGAACTTTCTGTCGGCACTACTGTCGTCCTTGCTCGACACGTCGTTCGAGGAATCCGAGTCCACCTCGACGGAAGAGTTCGAGACGACACTCATCGTGGACATCTTACCGCTCTCGTTACACGGATTCGACGCAAGTGAAAAATATCTTTCTGGTGCTCGACGCGCGAGAAAGCACCTTTCTTGGTCTCCACCGAATCTCTTCGCTCTCTTCTCGCGTCTGTTTCTCTTTCTCTCTCTTTCTCTCTGTATTCAACGAGGGTGAGTTTCAAAATTGCAAGGACCTAATAAAATACCTGTACATGTGTTCCTTGTATATGTATATAGGAATATATAATTAAATAGGTTCTTAAATTGTGTATATATATATATATACTTTTTTATTTGTTTATATCCGTTTGTTTTTGTTCATCTAATCAGTAATCCTTCTATATTTACTTTACTTATATTCATACTTTTCGTACTCGTGGTTAAGAGGATAAAAACACCGCGGTGGCGGCGCGCACGGTCAGAGAAATTGCTTCAAGAGCCCACGTGGCACATTAACGCACAGTTAAAAACTGCTTAAAGGGCTGCGAGGTTGGCTTCCGAGGTCGCCCATACAGGTTCCATGTTGTCTTGCAAAAAAAAAATAGGCCCCCTTGCCGCGCACCGTGTGCTTTCGTGCGCGCGTAAGGATTCGCAGGAAAACGCGTCTCTCGCGCCTTCGTTCGCGCCTCGAGCCTCCTGCTTTATTGCCGGTTGGCGGAGTCAGACGCCATAAGACACAAATACGTTGCTTATTTATTTCCACCTCCCACCTCGCCGTCGTCACGGCGGAAGGCGTTTTCTTCGCTGTTGTACGATTAACTCCTAGCGGTATTATTACTATCACTATGATTGTTAGCGGACTAGTATCAAGGACTAAAGCGCTCCTCCTCCTTCACTACCACTGTTCTCCTCCTCCTCTTCTTCTTTTTCTCTCTCTCTTTTTCTTCGCTTCTATTCCTCTTTTCCTTTCCGATCACACTCGTAATCTCGAACGCGGCCGTAATCAATACGGCCGAGAGGAGGAGTTTTCGCGTTTTCTTAGCGTATCTTAATTTATATTATTTAGCGCGCGTCGCGCCTCATGACCGGCGCGAATTCGAAGGAAAAAAGAGCGCGTTGCATTTAGGAACTTTTGCGCGCGCAGCTCATTACGCATGGCCGCGGGCTTTCTAATTGGCTGGTTAATTAGCGCGGGAGGCTCCATTCTCGTCGCGGACACGAGGTTTCGACGTGCGTCATCTCGGTCGCTCCTTTTCTTCTCTCTTTCTCTCTCCCTCTCTATTTCTCTCTATCTCTCCCTCTATCTCTTTCTACTCCCGTACTCCTCTCACTAATTCTCGCTCCCTTAACTTTCTAATCTTTGGGCTAAAACACGTGAAAAATAGGAACTTTGGTTGATCGTCTGGGATCTCTCTCCCCTATCCGTGACATGAACGTCGACGCTGCCCCTTCTTCGTTAAGACTTGTCCCTCAACGAGAACACGCAGCATCCTCCCCGAACTTGCCCTCCTCCACCTGGTCGGATCTCTCCGTCGCCAGGAAGAAGAAGAGGAAGAAGAGGAAACACCGAAAGAAGCAGGAACATCTTCCACGGTCGCGCGAGGTGGCACGGAGCACCATCCCCTTAAGCCTCCGTTACGTTCGCCGGCGTCATCCTCGCGGCGTCGTACTCGTGGAACTCGTTCAGGAGGCCGCGCGGCCCCCCTCTCTTCATCGTCGGCGTGAATGACGCGACTGTCGTCGAGCCGAGCGTGGCCGATCGGCGCCGACGGGCCTCGTTCGCTCGGGCCCGCGTCGACGGGCCCACAGCGGGGGCCCCTCGTAGATCGCGGATGACGTCCGACTGGCCTCGTGCGTAACTCGCAAACGCGGTGGTGGGGGTAAACGTTCGGTCAGTCGCGTTCGAGCCTTGGCAGAGTGCGGACGATTCGCTCACCCTTGGTGGCCGCGTTTACGCGTTTACTCGCTTTTATTAAAAACGAACGGCCCAACAGGGTGGTCTCGCGACGGCCGCGCGACGTACACTCGCCGGTAACCGTCCGCTTCCTTCCGTTTTGCGGAACCGCGCGGTGGCTCGAGAAGGGGGTCGGCCTCTCGAATCCCAGTTTCTTATGTGAGCGCGACCGCGCGACTGGTTGATGCAGTCCGCGGCGGAGCATAAGGAAGCGGAAGCTCGGCGCTCTCTTTCTCCGTCCTTCTCTCCCTTTCTATCCTTTCCTACTCCTACTACCGTCTCCTTCCTCCTCGGTCTCTCTTTCTCGCGCTCGGGGCCAAGGAAAGGCGCGCACGCTTCGCCGTGGCCGCCGGCGTCGTCGTCGTCGTCGTCGACGACGTCGTCGTCGTCGTCGTCGTCGTCGTCGTCGTCGTCGTCGTCGTCGTCGTCATCGTCGTCGTCGTCGCCGTCGTAGTAGCCTCCGTCTTTTGCTTCCTTTTCCTCTCTTACCTCCTCGCCAACGTTTTTCGTCGCTCCTTCTCTCCGCCCGATCTCTCGCTCTCTCTCGCGCTCCCACCCTTACTTCGCCACCCTCTCTTTCTCCGTCGGTCTTGCGGACGCGCGGCGCCGCGGCGCGCCGCGCCACGTCGCGGTAAGAAGTGGTAGGTGGAAGTAAGAAAGAGAAAGAGGCGGGAGAGGAATGAGAAAGAAAAAGAAAGTACAACAGACAGAGAGAATCTCCGTAGGTGGAGGCGGAGGATGGTATCGCGGGGTGGAGGGCGCAACGGGGGTAGGAGCGCGAGGAGAGGGTAGGGAGAGACGTAGCTCGCGAAGAAACAGATAAATATAGATATTTTTCCTTCGGCCGGCCACCTGAGGAGGGGGTGCAAGTAAGAGGGCGACGGAGACGGTTCAAGGGTGGGAGAGAAGGCAGCAAGGAAGTAGGGAAGGGGGTGAGGGAGTGTGTTGCACGCTCGCTTCCCGCCCCCCAACCGAATTGGAAAAATGGAAATAATAAGAGTCGCCTCCTAGGGAGTTGCATGGCGCGCTGTACGAGAGTTTGGGACCGGGGGGCAGGAGGGGAGGCAGGGGGTGGACGGGGGTGGTGGCGGCGGGGGTGGTTGGAGAGAAGAACGGCGGTGGAAGCGGGTGGACGGGGTGGTAGGAATTGTGCGCAGTGCAGCATGCGCTCTGAGACGACCAGAAAGCACACATCGAGGAATCGATGTGTGCGAGTGTCACGTGTGCTCCGCGCGGGAGCGGTGGGGGATGAGCTTTGGAAGATCGCGGCAATGCCGTGTGTACACGCGCATCCGTGTGTTCGGCAAGGAATACTTTGACGAATGTGTCGAGAGCAACATGGCTACCGCTAAGCGCAGACTTTTCGGCGTTCGCCGCATAAATTATACACCCCCGACTGCGTGGACGCGGTAGCGGTGGTGGCGACGACGGCGACGGAGACGGTAGTGGAGGCGGTGATGGAGGCGGCAACGGCGGCGGCACGACAAAGTCCGTTTAACGCGCGCCAACTCACAGTCCTTCTCTTCCCGAAAATCATTTATTCACCTTATACCGGGATTCTGAAAGGGCAGACGTTCGAAAACGATCTCGGTCCGATCCGTTCAGTTTACACGGTAAACGGTCGAATTGCCGCTTCCTCGCGCCCGAAACGCGCGATCGTTAGCGCCTCGTGCATCATTCATACGACTCGGCGGGAAAAGAGGAAGTGAACGATAATTCGATTAATTTTGCATCAATCCAGCTTTTGTGAAAAGTTGGCCGCTTTTCCGAAATAGGGGCGTCACGACGCAAGAAAAGTTTGCTTGAATATCAAACAACACCTGATTACCTCCAACGGGTCGCGAGCGTTATGCGCTCGTTACGATCGATCGACGTGAAAGATTCAGAGCAGCCACCCCAGAGCGCGGAATAATCGGCGCTGCAAATACACCTTAGCCTCGTTTTACGAGAGCGCCCGCAAATAACCGACGGACGAGCCAACCCCGCCAACACAAACGCAGGTAGTGACGCGCTTGTTCTCGAGTGACATCAGCTTTTCGGGGGCTTCGCTCAAATGTACACGCGGAAGAACCTCCGGAAAGAGGGAGAAAACAGGAAGAGAGAGAAAGAACGAGACACCCTAGTGCTCTTTGCGATTCATTCTCTTCCAAAGACCGTGAACGTTGTAGATGAGAGCACAAACGTAGCAAGAGTCGGACGAGGAAGGGGAAGGGAAGGGAAGAAAAAGAGAGCGCGCCGTCTAATGCCTCTAACGGCGCATCCCTAATTACCATTATACCATTGGTATGCAGATAGCTTCGCACCAGTGGAGAACCCTTTCTTCCTTCCGCCCTAAATAGCCCGATGAGCCCGGCGGAGAGCCACCCTATCTCCATTGCGGTGTACCATTCCGCGCACAATATTATTTGTATTTTGGTTTTCGGGGCGGAGCGGCCCGAAGGAGGAACTCCACCGGCACCGCCGGGAGGGTCCGTTCTTCTCTTGTCTTTTGATTCCTTATGCCTCTCTCTCTTTCTCTCTTTCACATATTTTCTCTCTGCCGCGGCGACGTGGTCGTCCTCCGGGAAGCGCGCCGGTCCCTCTTCCCATTCATAGTCCACGAAGTATATTACCGTTATTACGCTCGGCACGCATGCATCCGCATGCGTGCCAGCCGCTCGCGTGAGAAGTCACCCTTTGAAGTACTCCAAGTGACGCGCCGCGTGCAATCCCTGCGTGTCCTATATCTTCGACCCTTATTCCGTTATTGCTCGTAAGGCAGAGTACGTGCGTTATTGCTTCGACTATCGCCGTAGTGTGAGCGACGGCTTTCCGTGAAAATTCGCGCTCGTTGACAGACACGCCGTTGGCGTTCCGACAGACACTCATACTTCCCCAACATGATGTGTGCATCACTTCGTGAGTTACACGGCGTTGAAGGGGTTCGCGCGGGATTCTAAAACGAGCGCAACGGAACACGCGCGCATCAGATATAACGAGCATCGTCGGGGAGGAAATTCGCGTTAAAGCCTAACCAGCGCTGCTGCACAATCTACTCAAGGAACAGCAGGCATGACCGGCGAGAGACGCGCGTAGTTACGAGGAGAGCCGCGAAGGAGAGGGCAACGAAAATTAAAGAAGCGCTAAGCCGGGCGCTAAACCGAAGAACCACTTGTTGAACAGCTTGTGGTGGCAGCACGCCGGTTAGAGGAAGATCGGAGGGACTCGGAAACGAGGGTAGAGAAGGGAAAGGGGGCCGCGGATACGGCGGCGAGGGGGAGGCTGCGCGGATATGCAGATGAGGGGCGGCCACCCCCGTGTAACTAACTTCTAACTTTCGCGTAACGGCCAGCAGCGGCCTTCCACGCCGGTTTTACACCGACAACCCTCGCGCGACGAGTTTTCGCCACCCTTCCTCTCCTGCTGCTCTCCTTTCCACTCCTCCGCTGCTCCTCTTCCTCCACCTTCTCCACCATCTCCTCATTCTACTTCTCCACCATCTCCTCCTCTTACCGCGTCTCTTTCGCCCTTACAAAATTAAATCCGAGCACCGGCAACCCGCCAACCTGCTTCTCTCAAGCCGTTAGAGAGTCGCAGCGGCGGTGAGGTCGACGCCTAGTCTCGACCTCGGCCAAGGAAAACTTTCCAAGAGTTTACGCATCGCGGCTACGATCGCACCGCGATATAGAGGAGGTTTGGAATCATCAATTCTCTTGAAAAGATTTTTTTTAAATATTTGTAGCATATATACACATGCTTGCGAGATAAGATATATGATCTGAAAATTCTTTGTTTATATTTCTCTGTTTATTCATTTCTCATTTTTACCGTCAGATGTCATTCATATTCAATAACAATAAAGAAATTGATGAGGTACGATTAAAGAGCCTCAGAGAGAGAGAGAGTGACAAACTCTATCACATGACCTCCTCTTCTGATTGGTCGTGGGCGTTAAGACTCCTTGTGCCACAAGGATGTATTATGCCATAAGGAGCTTTAACGCCCGCGACCAATCAGAAGAGGGGGTCACGTGATAGAGTTTGCCAGTCTCTCTCTATGAGGCTCTCTAGGTACGATTGAGGAGACTGATCTCGGTAACTCTCCCTTACACACACCTTTTTTCGGTGTAATTCTGATTTCGCGCAGATATTGAGATGCGGGTATACGCGCGTGTGCACGT